ATTATTATTTTTTATGTGTATGAGTGTATTGCCTGCATGTATGTGAGTGCACCCGTGCCAAGCAGTGCTGCGAAAGTCAGACCAGGGCTTTGGATTCCCCTGGAACCAGAATTAAGCACAGTTTGTAGCTGCCATGTGGGTGCTGGGAATTGAACCTGGGTCCTCTGTAAGAGCAGTCAGTACTCTTAACTGCTGAGTCATCTCTTGAGCCCCTATTATTTTTATTTTATGTGTATGCATGTATTGCCTGCATATAGGTAAGTGCACCTATGTTGTGCAATGCCCTCAGAGGTCAGAAGAGGCTGTTGGATCCCCTGGGATTGGAGGTTTGGACAGTTAACTGCCGTGTGGATGCTGGGTTTCGAACCCAGGTGTTCTGCAAGAGCAACCAGTGTTCTTAACTACTGAATCATCTCTCTTCCCCCTCTTTTTTTAATATATTTTATTTATTTATTTTTTAAATCTTTTGGTCTTTTTGAGACAGGGTCTCCTTGTAGCCCCAGCTGTCCTGGAACTCACTATGTAGACCAGGCTGGCCTTGAACTCACAGAGATCCGCCTGCCTCTGCCTCCCGAGTGCTGGGACTGAAGGTGTGTGCCACCATGCCTGGCTAATATATTTTATTTTTATTTTATGTGTATGCATGTATTGTCTGCATATATGTAAGTGAACCCGTGTCATGCAATGCCCGAGGAGGACAGAAGAGGCTGTCTGATTTCCTGGAGCTGGAGTTATGGACAGTTGTTAGCTGCCATGTGAGTGCTGTGATTTGAACCTGGGTCTTCTGCAAGAACAGCCAATGTTTTTAACCACAGAGCTATCTGTACAGCCCCCTAATCCTTCATATTTTTAAGGAAATAATTTACAGTTAATTGAATAAACTTCTAAGAGAAGGAAATACACGTACATCCAGTGAAGCTATATTTCCATAGCATTCTTATTTTGAGAATGATTACAGTCCATAGATTATGGCATCTTTGTTAAATTGGATTCAGATCTCATATCTTAGTTCTAAGCCATAGCTGTAGCATAGTGCTGCTTTCTTTTTTATACAGCTGGCACTGAAACTCATATTCAGTACAGGTTAATAAGTGGAGCTGCTTCTACTAGAACATTGAGTATTAGAGCAAAAAATAAACTTAGACATACTTTTAATTTTTGTTTAGCCATTTTATGTTCTTGTGGGTAATCTCTGTTACACATTAACTAAGCACTTAGGAATTAGGTAGCCCTTGTACCTTTGCTGCTAGAGAGTCTGTAATTCTAGTCAGGGTTTGTTTGTTTTTTTAAATGGTAGGGATCTGACCCAGATTGCTTGTGCTAGGTAAGTGCTCTATAGTGAGTTCTTAAATCCCCAACCCCCAGTTTTTTTTTTTTTTCAGAAAAAAAGTTATTTTATAACTGGGCACTTGGGAGGCAGAGGCAGGTGGATCCTTGAGTTTCAGGCCAGCCAGGGCTACATAGTGAGACCTTTTTGTAAAAAAAAAAAAAAAAAGCTATTTTCAGTTTTATCAGTTATTTTGAAATCATAAACTTTCCCCCATCTTACTGCTTTTCCGTTTTTTGAATATGAAAAAATTCTCTAAACAGTTAATAATTTAAAAAATAAGTTATCTCAGTTTAGTCTTTTTAGCACATCTAGTTTATCAGTACATTTGTTTTACCTTGTATATAAACATTAAAACAAACAAAACCTCTGTACCTTCTGCGTACCTCAGATCACCCTAAGAAGTTTTGAATACCAAAGGAATAAAAGTTGTAATACTCCATTGAAAATTGCTAAGACAGCATATAAAACACTATAAAAAAGCAAAATGAAAAGCATAAATAACGTGCTAATAGAATATAAAATTCTATTTAAAATAGAATGACATTTTATTATAAAATGCTTAAAGTATGATACTGATATATTTTAACAGTCATGAGCTTATTTAGATCCGTGTGAATTGGATAATCATATTGAACTGGAACTTGAATTTACTATTAAAGATTAAGTCAGTTGGCTAAGAACAGGACTCATAAGAAGAAAATAGGTCCCCCCCCCCTTTTTTTTTTACTTACAAAATTAGAATTTTTCCCTCAGAAGGATCTTAAGTATGATATTCTTTCAATCTTATCCTAGCAAGTAATTTATTTTTCAGACAGGGTAGCCCTGACTGGTCTGGAACTTGCAGTGTAGACCAGGTTGGACTTGGACTCAGAGAGGTCTGCCTGTCTTTGCCTCCTTAGTACTGGAACTAAAGGTGTGGGCCAGCCACCAGCCCAGCTTTTTTTTTTTTTTTTTTTTTTTTGTCTTTTTGAGACAGGGTCTCCCTGTAGCTCCACCTGGCTTGGAATTTGATATGTAGACCAGATTGGCCTTGAACTCACAGAGATCCACCGGCCTCTACCCCCCAAGTGCTGGGATTAAAGGCGTGTACCACCATACCTGGCTCTTTTGGGTCTTTTTTTGAGAAGGGTCTCCTTGTAGCCCCAGCTGGCCTGGAACTTGCTATGTAGACCAGGCTAGCCTCAAACTCAGAGAGACAGTGCCTCTGCCTCCTGAGT